TGAACAGTAGGATGTCGGCGAAAATATTTTTCTGCCTTCTTCCTACATTTCCTGGCTTTGTTTGCATTCGTTGTTAAACCATGGTTTACGAATGTGAGGATTTGCAGAGGACTTAGGAATTGTTTGGTCAGCAATTTCATTCAGTTCAGCGGAAAACAGCTGTATTGGATCTGATACATTATTAAAGTTGTCCGGTATTAATTTGTCCACACACATTATTTCAAATAAGGACCAGTTGGCCTTGGAGAAATTCCACCGTGATGAAGGGGAATCATCATCCGGTCTGATAGCTTTCAGGACAGTAGGGAAGTGATCGCTTCCACAAAGGTCATCATGAACAGACCATTCAAACTCGTTGTAAATATTCGCATCTGCGAGGGACAGATCAAGTGAAGAATAGGTTCCTGTAGCAGGGTGCAAATAGGTGCTTGATTCATCATTAAACACACATAAATTATTATCAGAAATAAAATCTTCAATTACTTTACCTTTATTGCTTGTACTTGTACTGCCCCATAGAGGGTTGTGCCCGTTCAAATCGCCCATGATGATACAGGGCTTAGGTAGTTGATCATATAGATTCTGAAGATCAGATTGGTGAAGAGCAGATGAAGGTGGAATGTACAGTGAGCACAAGGTAAATGCAATGTGCAAAGTAATGCGGATAGCTACGGCTTGAAGATTAGTATTGAGGGGAATGTCACTATGAATGACATTATTTCTGACTAATATAGAAGCACCCCCAGTTGCTTTGTCCCTGGAGGAGAAAATGAGTGGTGGCATGTATACTGCCTTAGATCAAATGTATCAGTACGTTTAAGATAAGTCTCTTGTAGACATAATGCCGATGGTGAAAAGTCTTGAGCTATCAACTGTATCTCATTAAAATTATTTCTAAGTCCTCTGCAGTTCCACTGAATTATATTGGCCAACTGAGTCATGGTGGCCTCAATTGGCGATCGTTCACGGGTATGTGAGGAGGAGCTATCCCTCCGCCTGTCCTGAGAGGACAGAGCAACCTCCATGTCTAGAGGTTCAAACGGGTTTTGAAGAGGAACCTCGGAAGGTGAAGAGACAATAGGTGGTTGTTTTCTGTTTAACTTTTTTCCTTTTTTCTTGTTGGTTTGGTCAGTAGCTGGTTGAGAAGGAGATGGCTGTGAAGCAGACGTCTTGGATGTCGCAGACTGAATTCCAGTCTGAGATCCAGACGCAGTCTGAGTAACTTTAGAAGAAGGTGGAAGGGCTGACGCTGTAAGGGTAGGTTGTGTTGATTTGAGCCATGTGAAGTCGGTCTGACATGAAATGGAGGACGTTGCAACATGGCGTGTGACTGCAGTGACGTTGTTAGATGTAACAGCATGGGAATATAAAGTAGTTGAACTGGTTGGAAGAGGTACCAGCTTTTTAGCTTCAAAATATGAAATATTGTTAGTGCATTTGAGTTTCTGAATTGTTTGCTCACGATGATACAAGGGACAGGACTTGGAAGAAGCTACATGATCTCCTTCACAGTTTGCACATTTGATGGTATTAGTGCATTCAGTTAGGTCATGAGCATCACCACAACGGGAGCACACCGTATGATTGCGGCAGAACTTGGCTCCATGACCAAACCTTTGACATTTGAAACATCGGAGTGGAGTTGGCACATACACCTCCACTCCAATGTTAAAGTAACCAGCCTTTATGCACTTCGGAAGAGCCGAAAGTGCAAAAAGTAAACAAGTATGTGTTCAGTTTAATAACTGTTCCATCCTCTTTCTTTTTTGAAAATCGCTTTACAGCGACTACCCCTTGATTCTGTAATTCAGTCACAATGTCCTCCTCACTCATGTCAGAAAGACAGTGAGCCCTGTCTCGTACTATGCCTCTGCAGGAATTCAGAGTCCTGTGTACAGAGACAACAACCGGTGTATTCACAAACTGTTTTAATTTCAACAGATTGTCCGATTGCTGCCTCCGTGTACATTCCACTAACAGAGAACCATTACGGAGTCGTGTTACATCCTTAACTTCTCCACAGACACCTTGTATGCCCTTGGAGATAGCGAAAGGGTTTAATTTTAAAGGATTTTCATTTGCAGATGTGATAACAATGAACCTAGGCCATGATTCAGCAAATTCAGTAGATTCTTCATCAGAAGATGTAGATTCTATGCACCTACGTTTATGCTTTGAGGAACCAGATGGAATTGTAAGAGCCATAGTGTAGGGAAAGTGTTCAACATCCCTGCTCCCCACCCACCATGGAGTGTCAACAAGGACGATGGTACAGCGGAAACCAGCATGTTCCACCAGGGTTACAAGGATGCTATACTCCAGCAAATAAACACTTGAATAGCTGACAGATCTAACAGAATAAATGTCAGACTGGTTCGCCCTTGACACCTTTCTGGAGAAACACAGAATTCAGAGGTCTCTATTGCCAGATTGGCCCATGAGCCACCGCCTTCTGGCATAGGACTCTAGGCAATTAAATGGATCAATAATTTATAAATACAAATCAAAATTTCAATACAACATTTTATTGATGACATTCATTTTAATCAATCACAATAGTGTTGAAAAATACACAATTTAAAATGAATGTTTCCATGCGCAGGGCATGACGTGACCAGCCGATTGGTTGAACCGGGCCAGTTCAACCACCCGTCTAGAGTGAAGTAAGGGGCGAAGTGGTGTGTTGGGCAAAGGAACACTGTTCCTGGCCCCAGTGCCCTCAACCACCAGCCTCCCGTCCTCCACCGACACAGGGGCGCAACCCACGGCCAACGGGTTGGTGGACCTAATATCCCCCCGGGTCCACAACGGGGGTGAAGGGCGCTTAGCGTGACCCAGCACCCACCACGAGGAGGTGGCCCTTCACGGGTGATGGGCTCTGTTATCAGACATGATCCTTCTGGTCAGGTGGTCAAAATTCTGGATGTCCTATGTGTCCAATCAACTACTCCAAAGTAATAGGAAAGGACTGGCATAGCAAAAGTTTTGGTAGCTTTGATCTTGTTTCGAGCATTTAGCTCTGAGCTCCAGAATTTCTTTAAGCAAGATTTAAACTCGGCCCGAAGTTTGTCTTGAATCTGGGCATTCTGGACCTTGTCTCTAACTTGCATTCCAAGATAGGTGTGGGCCTGATCTTTCACAAGATGCTCAATAACTCTTGCCCCCTGTAACCTGACCGATCCATCATTAGTTACCTTGTCACGTTTCAAATAAAGAGTATTAACTTGTCGAGTCCAAATCAATGTTCGAAGTAATCGCCGGGACTAAAGGAGTCCCCCTGGAATATTCCCCTTCTGAATGGAATAGATTCTGAAGTCTGCACCTGCCCTTGCGAGTACATCTCAAGTCTCAGCAACTCATTAAAATCTTGAGTAAATTAAGTAGTCGCTCAGGGAGGTCAATACAATGAAGAGACGTCAGAATTCATTCTTGAGGGACGGAGTCGTATGCTGTCTTGTAGTCAGTCCAGCACATGGAGAGGTTGCGGTGATATGTTTTAGCCTCTTCCGAAATCATTATCTGTACAAGACGTTGATCCTTGCACCCCCAACATCCCCTTCTTGCCCACTTATGCTCTCTGTAAATTATGTCATTGGAAGAGCAGTAAGATGACACGAGGTTTGTCAAATATTTTATGTTGTGTATTCAAACATGTTATAGGGCGGAAGTTTTTGGGATCAATCAAGTCTCCTTTTTTGGGAGGGATGATTGTGCGACCTTTGAAAAACCATGAAGGAACATCGCTTGTATCCACGAGAGAATTGAAGCAGTGAAGTAATGGTGTTTGGACACAGGGGAACAGTTTCCAATACCGGTTTCGAATGCCATCAGGCCCTGGAACTGTAATAGATTGGACTTTTTTGATGACACTTTTCAGGCAATCTGGTGAGATGTAACAGACAAATGACCGAGTTTTTTTCTCATGCATTGCATAGTCGTAATCACGGATCCATGGTGCCTCAAGGTTACGGTCGCCGGGTACAGACCACAACTGTTTCCAGAAACCTTTATTGGCATCTATGGGAGGCTGTTAATCATGCTCACCATCACCCTTTGATTTGAGTTGCCTGTATTTTGGCCTTAAGGTAATCGACAATTTGGAGAAGTATCTTTTCCCTGTTGTCTTATACTGTAATTTGAACATTCTACAAATTGACTTTTATCGTTTAGACATAATTATGATGATTATTATTATTATTATTCTGGATGTCTATTAATATACTTAAGAGTTGTTAGTATTGTGTTTACTTCTCACCACCATCCTTGGATCCTTCCAAATGGATCTCAGATTTAAAAGCTTATCAGGATCTATTGGACCCTCTTCAAGCTACTGATAATTATTCAATCTTACACATTAGATATACGTTTACCTGTACAGTGTTGACGTTTCTGTTTAAAATATCATACAGACGGAAAGTTGAACACAATACAATCAACCAAATTAAACACAATGCAACTTCCACCTCCTGTGCGATCTACGCCGTTGACGAGTAATGACATCGTGACATGTCAAAGCAACCTACAGCACAGCAGAAACAATTGCAACCCGTCTGTTTATCCAGCATACAAGTAGCGCAGTACTTACTATAGATCACAGTAATGTTACAAGTGACATTTACTCTTTTGTATGAAATATAGTTTACCGAAAAATCGTTCCTAAATACCATAAAAAGGAACACAAGGACTTTCTTCATTTCCTGAAACTGCTGTAATCTTGACTTGCCCCAGTGTGTGTATCTTGTATATTTGTTACAGGATGTGTACATGTTAATGCCACTACAGCAGGACGTGCAAACTGCATGTAGCAAATACAGAACAATCATTTAGCATTACACACCACCAGTTATCTCCCTTTATGAATATTTAACAAAGCTTATATTTACAAAATATTAAATGTCCTGTAAATATCATCTTTACAAGACATCTTTTAAAGCTTGTAAATGTCAACTGTTTTTGCTGTGTTTAGACAATGATCGAAACAAGTCAAATCTTTACGTTACCATCTTTCAGATGCGATGCCACGGAGTTCTGAAATTCATCTCCTGGTCTGCCAGTTGGTCGGAACACAAGGAATTTAGGGCCCTTCCGTTGAGTTGTCAAAGGCTGGCTGACAGCGACACGGACTTCCTCCAAGCATCTGTTTAAGCTGTCACATATTGACTTTTTCAATTCTGTATTTGACTCAAAGTCGGGCACTATTGTTATGTCACCATTGCTGATGAAGCCGTTTCCTGAAAACATACAGAAGCACCTCTAAATACAAAAGGTTTAAAATATGAACACATGCAACAGGATTAACTCATAAATACACTGTCACAGTATATGCTTCTGTAATGCCGTTTATGCTAGCGTTTAAGAACATGTTGTGTTTTGAATGTTTCATAAGCATAATGAGCTGTATTACGTTGACCTGGAAACTATCGAGACTGAAACAAACGAACTGAAACCAGCATTTTGTTTGTTGCTTAACACCAGGTAAAATAACAACGTTGATCATTTTTCTGAATATTCGTCGTGGATAATCTGAGGTTTGATATTTGAAAACGATGTACACAACCAGAAATTAGTGACACTATTCATCGAATCAACTAGTAGCAAATTATCCCCTAAAGATAACAGGGAATCAGTCTGTTATAGGACCAGGTGTGAAACCAACAAATAACAAAGACGTAATTAACAATTGCAATATATATCTGAGTTAGTTCACAAATCAATGCAAATCACTACACCGGTATCACTATTACAAAAGCGAATGTATACAGGAGCAGCGGATATGAATAATAAAGACACTTTTAAACAGTGATGGTAATTCATCCCCTCAAAACTCTAATCTCAGTTGCAAAAATGGCAGGGTATAATGATCACCAGATGCAATGCTTGTCTAATGGTATCTATAGAAGTCACAAGATATGAGAGCCAATGCCCAGCTCACCTTATATACCCAGCCAATACCCAGCTCTGATCACACCAATGATCAAGAAGCCTCACCTTGACTCTGATGTTTTCAAAAGTTATAGACCCTTCTCAAATTTATCCTTTGTTTCAAAGGTCCTTGAGAGGATTGTCGCAGCCATGCTAACTGAACATGTCATGAGAAACAGGTATGCAGAGGTTCTACAGTCGACATATCGATGTCGCCATAGTACAGACATACTGCAATCAGTGGGCTTAGATGGGGCCATCCTAGTACTACTCGACCTCTCCGCAGCGTTCGATACCATTGACCATTGCACTCTCATGACCACTTTCCAGCATAGATTCGGCGTCAAAGACAGTGCCTTTGATTTGCTTCTATCCTATCTCTCTGGATGATTCCAGTCAGTGAAGATCAGAGATAATTATTCCAGCAAAGTTGCTCTAAGGTATGGCGACCCTCAAGGCTCAGTGCTGGGACCCATTCTTTTACCATTTACACACACCCTCTTGGAGACATTGCAAGGGTTCATCATCTGTCGTTCCACTTTTACGCTGGGACACTCAGCTTTACCTAGCATTTAAACCATCACAGAGTCCAGAATGCTTTCAAGCGCATGATGCTATCCGTGGAAGATATCAAGGTTTGGATGACCAAAAACTTTCTCAAGTTGAACAGTGAGAAGACTGAACTTCTCGTAATCTGTTCCAAGTTTGTCAGAAGCAGGTTGACTCATCCAGACCTCATAATTGGGGAGTGTGTTATTCCTCCAAGTGACAAAGCACGCAACCTCGGTTTTATCTTTGACTTATCTCTAAGTGCAGAATCTCATTTTTCAAAAGTCTGTAAAACGGCACTCTATAACATCAGAAACATCAGCCAAGTAAGAAGATTCCTGACTGTAAGGACTGCTGCCACTCTAGTCCAGTCCTGTTTGTTGTGTCACCTTGTTTACTGCAATGTATTGGTGTACGGTATCCCAAAACACCTTATCAACAAGCTTCAGCGATGTCAATGTGCAGCCGCCAGACTGGTGACCAAGACAAGAAAGGATCACCATATTAGACCAGTCTTAAAGAACTTACACTGACTAACTGACTGACTGAGTTTGGTTTTACGCTGCTTTTAGCAACATTCCAGCAACATCACGGCGGGGGACACCAGAAATGGGCTTCACACATTGTGCCCATGTCGGGATTCGAACCCGGGTCTTCGGCGTGACGAGCCAACGCTTTAACCATTAGACTACCCAAGGCTACACTGGCTCAAGATGGCAGAGAAAATCAAGTACAAGATTCTGGTACTAGTGTACCTCCACCATATCTCCAAGACCTTATTAACGAGTATGAGCCACCCAGAGCCCTGAGAGCAAGGGCACCCGTGAAGAGCCATCTCCTCGTGGTGGGTGCTGGGTAACGCTAAGAGCTCTTCAGCCCCACGTGTGGACCCGGGGGCATATTTGGTCCACCAACCTGTTTGCAGTGGGTTGTGCCCCTGTGTCGGTGGAGGACGGGAGTCTGGTGGTTGAGGGCACTGGTTCCAGGCACAGCGTTCCTTTGCCCAACACACCACTTCGCCCCTTACTTCACCTAGACGGGTGGTAGAACTGGCCCGGTTTTATCAATCGGCTGGTCATGCCAAGCCCTGTGCTACAACTATGTACTTTTGCACAAAATGTTTGAGAATTATTACATGATATTTTTAAGTCTTGGCGAATTTTTTAACTCCAAATTTCAAATATACAATTTCATGTATGTTTTTGCCTAGAGTCGTATGCCCAGAAGGCGGTGGCTCATGGGCCAATCTGGTGGAATCATTAATCTTTTATTTTTCTGCTAGAGTAATCATCCGGGTATCCTTGGTGCTGCAAGTCGGAGATCCGCTTGCTTTTAGCATTGTCCTTGTGATACTCCGTGGTGGGTGGGGAGCTCGGATGACGAACATTGAAAAACCTTTAACCATGACACTGATCCAGTTACGTCCACGTCCATTGAATACTGGCCACGATTTCTCGTTATTGCCCCTAAAAAAACATATTTATTCAGTCCACTAGACACTGATCCAGTTGATAATGATCAAAGACTGTCCACGTCCATTGAATACTTTTTGAATTTGACGAATTCTTTAAAAAATGTGTTATTGAAAGACAAGACCTGTTGACAAGACTCCATTAAAGTTGAACCCTTTTGCCATATCTAAGGGTATACAGGGCATTGCTGGTGATGTCAAGAATATAAAACGTTTACGTTCCGGTGCTCTATTGGTTGAGTGTGGGAAAAGGCAACAAGCCACCAACCTTATGAGTACAGAATCATTTGTCGGCGTTCAGGTCACGGTCACGGCTCATAAAACATTAAACACGAGCAAGGGAATCATCAGAGACCGTGATTGATTGTTTGCAGATATGTCGGAACTTGACATCGTCTCTGAGATGAAAGATCAAGGCGTACTCTATGTCAAACGTTTCACAACCCGGAAAACGATGCTGTTATAAAACCAATACTTACTTGTTTTCATTTTCTTCACCAAAAGCTCCAAATTCTATTAAAGCAGGTTATTGTAACATCAATGTAGAAACGTACATTCCGAACTCTCTAAGGTGTTTCAAATGCCAAAAATTCGGTCATGGCGTCAATACTTTCAGACATTGTCTGTTGTATGTGCTCACTGTGGTGAAAAGACACATACAACAGAAAATTGTTACAGTAATGTTACAAAATGTACAAACTGTGCAGGGGATCATTCCTCTTACTCTAAAAGCTGTCCTGTTTGGTAACATCAAATGGAGATAAATAAAATCAAATTCACGCAAAACATTAGTTTTGCAGATGCCAAAAAACTAGTTCAAAGCTCAGAGCATAAAGAGAGCTATGCTTCTATCACCAGAACACCGTCAGAAGCAACCACTAGAATAACAAAATCATCTGCATGCTGTCAGACCAACTTGACCTGGGATAAATCTGAATGTCCTCTGATATTCTCACCTGCAATATCTACCAAAACAACAGAATCAGTTCCTAGTACGTCTCAAAGCCAATGTGAAACATCCTCTGATCTTGACGCATCATCCCAGTCGACATCAAAGTCTACACAGCCCCTTAAAGGCCAAGGTAAGAAGCAAGATTCTTTGAAAAAACTCAGTGGCAGAGCCCCAAAAGGGTCAGATGATAAAATCAAATTAATCAACAAATACGGATCACTTGAGGACATGGACGTGTCCGAAAACGTACATTCTAGGGCACATAGCTTGTCGCCCTCGAAAAAGGTGTGGTGTAGATCCCCTATTAATCCACCTAAAAGATAGGTCTATCTAAACATATCGTGCAGTGGAACTGTAGAGGACTGCGGACAAATTTTAATGAAATACAGCTATTAATCCAGGATTTAACACATCAGCGTTCTTTCTGCAAGAGACGTATCTGAAACAGACAGATAATTTTAGCTTACGTTAGTTTGAAGCCTATCATTCTTTTTCCCCTCCAGGTGATAGAGCCACTGGAGGTTCTACTATCCTTATACGACAGGATGTTATTCACAGTGCAGTTACACGTAACACTAATCTCCAAGCTGTTGCACTGCGACTTACTCTCGGTGTAGCATTTACATTATGCTCTCTGTATATTCGCCTTCATCGGCACTTCAACAGACTGATCTTCAATCACTCTATCATCAACTCCCGAAACCATGTGTTATTATGGGTGACCTAAACGGTCACAACCCACTCTGGGGCAGTACTAAGACTAATACCAAAGGCAAAATAATTGAAGATTTCATTTCAAATAATGACCTGTGCATATTTAATGATGATTCAAGCACCTATCTGCATCCTGCAACTGGCACTTATTCTTCTCTGGATTTGTCTCTTGCAGATTCTAACCTCCTGAATGAATTTGACTGGTCTGTTCATAATGACCTTTGTGGAAGTGATCACTTCCCAACTATCCTTTCAGAAATAACTCCATCTGATTCTCCATCGTATACAAGATGGAACTTTTCGAAGGCTAACTGGTCTTTATATCAAACTATTTGTAAATCGAAACTGCGACCTGAATGTTTCAGTGATATAACTGATCCCATTCAAACTTTTGCTGACGTTTTAAATGAAATAGCTGATGAGTGTATACCCAAGTCCTCTACGACTCAACATGTACGAAAACCATGGTTTAATACAGATTGTAGACAAGCCAGAAAAGCGAGGAAAAAGGCAGAGCATTATTTCCGCCATCATCCAACTGCCCATAACTTAAATAAATTTAAAATACTCAATGCAAAGGCGCGTCGTACCATGTCTATTATAGTCCCAATACCAAGACCTGGCAGGGATCATACAGATCCGTCAAATTACAGACCGATATCTCTAACTAGCTGTGTCTGTAAAACCATGGGACGTATGGTGAATAATAGATTAACTTGGTATCTTGAAACCAATAACCTTATAACAAATATTCAATGTCGTTTCAGGAAAAATCGTAGTACCATTGATCATTTGGTACGCTTAGAATCCTTTGTTAAAAATGCTATAGTAAATAAACAACATGCTGTATCAATTTTCTTTGATCTTGAGAAAGCTTATGATACGACCTGGAAGCATGGCATTATGAAGGATTTACATGATTTTGGTTTGAGAGGCCGTTTGCCTCTTTTTATATCACAGTTTTTAAAAGACAGGCAATTTCAAGTCCGAGTGGGTTCAAACCTGTCTGATCATTACAATCAGGATCAAGGTGTCCCTCAAGGCAGTATTTTGTCTGTCACTTTGTTTAGTATCAAGATGAACAGTTTATCCAAGGTTTTAAACGATTCAATCGATGGATCACTTTTTGTGGATGATTTAAATATTTCTTGTCGTGGTAAAAATATGCATACTATTGAAAGGCAATTGCAGTTGTGTTTAAATAAAATAAATAAATGGTGTCTTGAAAACGGCTTTAAATTTTTAAGTCCAAAACTAATTGTCTACACTTTTGTATAAAATATAAGCCGCATAAAGACCCAGAAATATCTTTAAATGGCACTCCCATCACAGTTGTCAAGTAGGCCAAGTTCTTGGGTCTAATTTTCGACTCCCATTTAAATTTTTTGCCGCATATTAAATCCCTTAAAGCTAAATGCCTGAAGGCACTTGACTTGTTGAAAGTCGTTTCCAATTCTAAGTGGAAAGGGGATCAAGCTACCCTCCTACATCTTTATCGATCACTGGTACGTTCCAAACTTGATTATGCTTCTATCGTTTATGGTGGAGCCTGCAAAAGCAACCTAAAACTATTA